ATCTATTCTAATCTTTTTGTTTACTGCTAAAAGATCGTTCGTGCTTTAGCTCAATCGGAGGCTGCTCTATAATGCTTGAGACAAACAATCACAATGCCCGGTTATGTTTGAGCCCGGGACCGACACAGCTGCGCAGTGATCTTAGCGTAATTGCTCTTTATTAATACAATTCGATGTGGATTTTGGTAAATTCCATTTTGGCGTGTGTTTCGCAAGCAAATTTGGCGGTAAGCCTTTGCCATCCGAACTTGCCAGGCAAACACTTTCAGTGAAATGTTTACATACCTTTCATTTCGTCTAAAGAAACGAGTAGAAGACATTTGTAATTGGCCCCATCGGAAACCGAGGGAGGTTGATTGCCTTTAAGTTGTGACTGTACATTTTGGCTAATATGTCCTCAGCTCACCTTCCCGCATCGCTTTGATGACTTCTTTTATGAGACAGACTAAAGCTCATTCCATATTCATCGTGGTTGCAAAAATCTTCAGTCATAACTCCAGAATACCTCTTCATCGACTTAAGGTGAGGCATCTTCAAAAAGCCTTTCGAACAAAATATATGCCACACCAGCATCACTTTATTAAGGATAGTGAGAGCTGCCACTGATTGAGCTGTATGCGACTTGGCTCGGGAGATGCACGATTAAACGACATGATGCTTACTGTGGGGAATGAAGTTAACGTTCCCTCTTGGAGGGAGCACATGAAGAACAAGAGAACGCTGGTATGAAGAAAAACAGGGTTTTGAAGAGTCCCTTGATGATTTTTTGTGACGACATTTTTTCGAAGGAAAGTTGGTTGGAAAGAATTTGTGGAATGGTCTTACCGGAAACTGAAGAAGGGTTGCTTTTGGGGTTTGAAGACTGTCGGAGTGTGCAAACAAGTCCCCGGCTCACCGTCCTATGAGCCTGATGAACCTGTGCTGAGCTTCGTCTCTAGCACCGTGACAGACATCGTCAGAGCGAAAAAACTCGCGCCAACTACAATCTGTCAAACAACTTAGGGTGGCCCGGTGCAATCACCCTCACTTTTTCTATCTACCTCTGGGATCATATTGGTGCATTTCGTGATTTGGTTGATTATTTCATGCCTAACATAAGTTCTTATAGATGGAGGAAGTTAATTTATGAAAATGAAATGGATTTGGTAGAAGGTATTTACTTGCCTAACTAATCCGGTGTATGACGGTACAATTTTGACGCATATTTACGAATGTGATATTGCACGACCTAACAATTCTTACTTAACTTTAGTTAATCCTTCTTCGGTTTCTGGTGAAACTAATTAAGGGATTTATTTCAATCAACTTTTCAGTCTAAATCAATTATCATGTGACAATATAACTGCAGGGTCCCGGCTACATTCGATCAGATAAAACTAGCCTTATGTCAGCATTATTAGGCTTGCCTTCACAGCATTTATTGCATAGTTTGCTATGATTTTAGCGTAGCGAAAGAGAGTAACTCACTTGGCGACTCGAGTTTGATCGGTTTTTGATTTTTTATCATCTTCGTCTATCATTTTCCCCCGAACTGATGCACAGGTAGGTTAGAGAGAACTTCACTCTTCACAAATCATCATCCATAGGTAAAACTTGAAATTTTCTTTGGGAATATGTTTTTTTACGGACATGATCTCACTGTATCGCCTTTGTAAATGCAACCTAGTCGCGATTAATACGAGTTTATATATTACGAAATTTAATTTAGTATAAGTTTTAGATTGACGCCAGATCGCATGTAATTCGGGCCAAATTTCTGTAGGTAGTATTCAAGACTACACAAGAGCGAAGCAGATGCATCGGTTACTGTTAGACTATTGCCCTTTACTTGCGTATAGATGCTTGTCAGTTTTATGTTTAGAACACAGTATATAAAAAGTTGTACACAACATACCATTAGTAAATATAGACAAAATAAAGAATGCTAGAGAGAGAAGAGTGAAGGTGAAAAAGAGCAAGTCGTAATTAGATTAGAAAAATGTAATAAATAGGTACAAATGTGCTGATAGTAATTCTAAACTAGGCATAAAAAGGCAGATGAAATGAAAAATAGTAAAGGGGCTTATATTCGTTGCGGTTTGGAAGCCATCTCTAGAAACCAAGATAGCTTCATTGAAGCACATGAACCAAGGAATAATAGGAACATTTTAAGTAAATTACTTTTTAACGGGCGAATACTCAGATATTATGTGATATATGAGATATATTCACCATACTTTATTTAAGGTGATGCAGGGCTGGTAGTTGAATTTTCCAACAATCAGATGAAGAGAGCTGAAGTTTCCATTGAATTTCACTTGTCCTCACTATCCCAAAAGTATTCTCACCCAGAAAGGAGTTGACTGCAGTCTCGACTCCGCCTGAACTAGTCTTATCAACAACCCCAGCGGGGGTCGAACCATGACAGTGCAGCGTGTAATCTTGACACGTTAACCACTCCGCCACATTGCACGAGTGCCCTTGGGCCAGAGGACAGATATGAATTTCAAAGAAGGCCAAGTATTTTCCCATATCATATTATTTGGTGGGATTGTCGATGAAGCAAAGTTGTATTTTCTATAACAATTCAC